AATTTACTAATGTTTTCCATTTGTACTTCTTGTTTCCTTTCTTGTTCCAGTTGCCACTACTGTAGTCTCTCTTCTTGGTTATGTTCTCGTTCTTCTTGTTTCTTTTCTTTTTCTTCCAACAACTGCTGTAATCTCTCTTGTTTATTTTGTTGTTCCAGCTGCCACTGTTGTAGGTTTTCTTGCCACTCTTGTTGTCTCTCTTCTTGTTTCTTTTCTTTTCCCTCCAACCACTGCTGTAATCTCTCTTCTTGTTTGTATTGCTGCCATCAAATCTGCTAAACTGTAGTTTGATTTGCCACTTCTCGTTTCCATTTTTTTTTTCCGTCCCACTCTCTGACACCAATTTGTTACGTCTCTGGTCGTTAGTTAATTTTCCGTAAAAATTCTTTCCGAAGAAACTTTAGCAATACAAGTCGCTTCTTAAATAAAACTGGTTTATTCTTTCTGAATACAACTTTGCAATACATTTAATTTTCACAGTAACGCTGTAACAAACGCTATAATTCACAACGAAGGACTCACGTGCTCGACTCAACAATACGTCTCTCTCCGTCCGCAGTTCAATCACATTGTTGCCGTCAGTTCTAACCGGTCTTATATATACAAGAATACCGCATATCTAGTAAAAGCTCGAGACTTCACGAACCTTCGAGAATATGATGTGTTACTAGCGTCACGTGACCCCCGCTGTCGTAACAATAGTGTCACTATCGTAATGAAAATACAACTCTAAATGTCATACACATAAAAAAGTTCATTCTTTAAATCCGTAAGAGTAGTGTTGGCCATTACTTTCAACAGAGCTCTTTTTTAAGACTAATTTTTTGTTAAAGTACGTATACCTCTTAAATGAAACACCGCTATTGCTACAGCTCAATGAAGAAAAATTCCGCGGCGCTACTGTTCTCGCTACCCATTTATAAATATAGCAGTGCTATAGCTACCACTACTTTTGAAACTGACATGATAATAAAGTGGTATACTTAAATGTTGAATGTAGCTCACTAAAACCTCTTGGGTCCGGCATGGCCAGGTGGTTAAGACGCTCGACTGAGGGTCGCAGGTTCGAATCCCCGTCCCATCAAACATGCTCGCCCTTTCAGCCGTGTGACGGTCAATCCCACTATTCCTTGGTAAAAGAGTTGCCCAAGAGTTGGCGGT